CCTGAGGCATCAGCCTGTTTTCATATTAAACATTGTATTAAGACTCTTTGGGTGGTTCTTGATTAATCTGATGTTTCTTGTCAATTTGTATGATTTTCTTCCTTTTTTGAATATTTTCACATATTAAAGTGAGATGGTAGCAAGCATTCTTAACAATGTATTTTAAAAGCTTTGTAGTTGTCACATGGAACCCATATTGACCATGGTGACCACCTCCTTTAAGGATATATTTGCGCTATTAGAAGCGCATCTCCAATAGAGATGCACATAACCTAACAGTGGCATTTAATACGTGCTATATCATTAAACTATGGCTTAGTTTGATCATAGATGCACCTGTCTCAATACATAAGCACATACATTACTAATAGAGCAAGCAAATATGTATATATGGGCTACTTCCATAAAAGTGCAATACGGGTATATGCCGCCCGACTGGGGTGTCATTTCACGTTATTTTGTTTACAAGTGGGTAGTCATTTATCAATGGTTTGGTTTAGAAGTGTGTAGTCATTTATCAATGGTTTGGTTTAGAAGTGTGTAGCATTTATTTACTTTTTCACAGGTCCTTATATTCAAAGCGAGATAACGGAAAATGCTGAATAAAATGCGTCGCCCGGATGCGCTCACTGGTTGCGAAAGTTGTGAGCTGGGTGTTTTTTTTTTTGCTGAAAACACTTGTGTTTAGAAGTGGGTATATAAATAGAAAAAATGGTTTAGAAGTGACTAAGGGTTACGAGAGTTGGGCTGCACTCCCTTAAACACTTAATGTGGAAGTGACCCCCCCCAGGCCTCCATCCCTAACCCCATTTGTATATGCCCCCTCTAGATAACTATAGATGTCCTTAGGAGGGGCATGTACAATTAAATGGGGAGTGCTGGAGGGTAGGGGTAGGGTTAGGGTTAGGGATGCAACAGCAACTTATAAATTAAACTTAGTACATAGGTGCCACAGACTGCGAGCCGATGCAAAAAAAGAGACAAACAAACAAAATGAAAAAAAATGTGTGCGTGGTGTTTTTACTAAAAGTATTTTTTTTTTATTCTTCAGTACTTCACTTTCTGTGTCTTTTTGGTGATGCTGGCTTGTGCAATGTTCCAACAGATGAGTTCAATTGTCAAGCTGTGTTTGATGACAACGCTTGGTCTCATCTATGTCATTATAATAGAGATTCCATACTCCAGTGTCTTGGATAACAGAGATCTCCTGATACAGTCACATGTAGAGTAAGTATATCATTTCCAAACAAATACTACGCAACCCCTTTCACTGCCATTGTCATTTCGGCAAAATAGTTTCTTCTATAAAATCTGATGATCAAATTTTTGTTATTAGTCCCCGTTCAGGCGCAGCCTGAAAAGGGGACTTATAATTCAGGTTTTGTCCTTTTTCCGTCTCCAACATTTTCTCAGAAATTCTACAGCAGGTATCAGTGAAACTTGGCAGGTTGATGAACAAGTGTCTTCCGAGTATGCACATAATTTTTTTT